CCCCCCCCCCCCCAAAAAAAAAACACCCGAGGGGTATTTTACGGTTTAGGGTAAAGTCAAGAAGACCATACTTTATTCATCAAACACTCAACCTCAAGGGATGTGAGTTGTGAGATTATATTCTTAGTATATGAGGATGATATTATTGTTACCAGTGATGATTGGAAGGAGCAACAAGTATTGAGTCAACATCTAACATCTAAGGAGTTTGAGATATAAAACTCTTGGGAAATTTTGGGAAATAAAGTGTCCCAATCCAAGAAAGGCACTTTCGTGTGTCACAAATTTGCTCAAGGAGACAGGTAAGGCAGCTTTTAAACCTATAGGTACTCCCATTGACTCAAACCTTATATTGGGTAATGCAAATGATAGTGTGGTGGTCAATAACGAGTTGTATCAGCATTTGGTTGGAAAATTACTCTATCAGTCTCACACAAGGCCAGATATTGCATTTGTTGTAAGTTTACTTAGCCAAGTTATGCATTGTCCAAAACAAGTCCACTTACAAATCACTCATAGAATTTTGCAGTAATACCATAAAGGAAACCCAAAATGAGAAATTTTATTTAAAGGAAATGGGAATGCATTTCTTAGGCTTACACTAATGATGATTATGCAGGATTAGTGACCGATAGAAGACCCACTACTTAATATTGTACCTTTCTTGGAGGAAATTTAGTAACTTGGAGGAATATAAAACAAAATAATGTGGCTCAATCTAGTGCTGAAATGAGTTTCATGCTATGGCACAAGGTATTTGTGAGCTACTTTGGGTGAAAATTATTTTAGAAGACTTGAAGATTAAAAGGAATGGACCAATGAAACTCTAATGTGATAATAAATCAGCTATCAGTATAGCTCATAATTTTGTTCATCATGATCGAACAAAGCATGTAAAACTTGACAGACACTTTATCAAGGAAAAGCTTGATTTGTACTCCATATGTACCTTCACAGAATCAACTTGCAGATATGCGGTTCAGATTTTGAAAGACTTGTATGCAAGCTGGAAATGGAAAACATTTACTCTCCAGCTTGAGGGGAAGTGTTGAAAATAGGAATTCCTTTGATGTTAATTTTTCCAAGTTGCCTAGATACTTGGTATAGCTAGGTCCAATGCATCATAGGAAGTAATGGCATTTTAATTTTTCTCTTGTAAATTGTTTTGGCATTAATTATCTTTGTAATTCTCTAGAACATAAATAAATTCATTTTGCTGGGTGGAATAGTCACTCAAGCATATTCAGAAAACATTTGTCTCTCAGTTTAACAATCAACTACAGTTATTGTTGTAGTTAATAGCTGTTAATAAAATATATAATTTGTCCTTGATTAGCTCTAGTATTTCATGCACTACTAATATACAAAAAATGAACTGCACGTAGTACACAATAACAATTTCTCTCAAATTCTCTGTTTCAACAGGCATCGTATATACTCATGCCAATAGGTAGCAATACAGAGCTTCAACAATGAGAATATTGATTAGGCACAGGGATTAGTCCTTTTCTCACTCATCAGTCTACCCAGGTCATAGAATTCAATTTTTGCTTGCCATATCCTTAAACTTGAAAGAAACCACAATTATAAGCCTCTATTTGAAATATATACATATGCCCCCCTTGAAATGAACAGGGCCAAATTGTACATATTATACATAATACATAATAATGTAGATATAAATGGTAATATGACATGAATATACTTACAGGAAGAAGGCAAAATAAAGCACAATAGAATTACAATTATAGAAATAGAACTCACCTCAGAACTATCAAGTTTGTCAAGGAAATAAGTGTAAGGAAGTTTAGGGCGATAGTGCCACCATCTCTTAGCTATCCACAGAGCCCTAGTACCCTGAGTGCCTGTCACCTTTTCTGCCACATCCTTGCGAAGACTATTTTCAACCTCTTTCATGTCAAATTCAACTACATATTTGGCATTTAAGGAATCCAATTGCTCAGAAAAACGTTCTTTTCTAAGGATCTTCCTCCATTTATGAAGTCTCTCACGCCATGTAGCTTCACTTTGAACTTCACCTGCTTACAACAACAACAACTTCACCTGCTTAGAAACATGAAAAAGTATTCTGTTAAGAATTAAAAAGATGGAAACTATGTTGGCCATTAGATAGATAAAGAGATAAAATCAATCAAACTCACAATAAAGCTGATTGATTTCGCCATCTTATGGGCTTATGGCAACCATAACCAGTTAAGTGTATGTGTGTATTCAATTGAGAGAAAACTCAGAAATTTTATTGTATAACTTCTGTGAAACAATAAAATTTGAGGGTTGATAGGCGAAGAGAAGAAAGTGGAACCAGAAGAGAAATGTGAAACCCTTGTCCATTGCCAATATAGATCTGATAAGGACCCTCAAAAGGCACAGTCTATTCAATGTTCTGGATGCGTTGTCACAAGAAATGATGCCTGAGTCAGGTAACCACTGCTGAGTGTGATCACTGTTAGCAACCATTGGCTGAGGTGGTTGCAGTGGCTGATAGGATCTCTGATAGAACTGCTGGTGATGTGAAACAGATAGGAGGGAATCTCAGTATTGTACTATTATTGTGTATTAGATGAAGCAAACTGTGAAGGAACCTACTGCCATGGAAAGATAGATTCCTGAGTCTGACTAGGAATTTGAGTTTGCAGAGGTGGTTGTTACTGTTGATTGAAGTGATGGCAGCAGACAGAAGCTGTGTCTCAATTTGAAGCAAAGCTAACATTGGACAGAAAATCATTCACCTTGATTGTGGCCACGACCAGCACCTCAAAACCCAAGGAAGGGAGGATTGACATCAGGGCAGATGCTTGCTAGGACTGAGGGTGAAAAATTCATAGCAAAAGGTTGCCGAGGTATGGACTGACTAAGGTTGATAGAGAAGCAGATTCAGCTAGTGTCTTCTTTTTGTACTTCTGAATTCACAATTCTGGGGCAAGAATTAGGGCTTCAGCCTCTTCGATAGGCATAGTAACACTTTTAATTTCAATTAGCAAAGTGACCAAGGCATATTCTTGAGGAAAACCTTCAAGAATGACATTTAAATATTCTAGAAGAGCCATAGGATCACCAACAGTCAATAGTGAGTCAACCAAGGCTTTGATGCATAGCTAGAACTAAGAAATAGTACACAAGATTAGTATTGCAATAGAAAGCAAAGATTGAATCCGTGAAAGAAGCATTTCACATTTCTGTTACCAGGTATTGGGAAAAACCCAAGTCCCACATCGACTAGAGATTAGGCAATTGAATAGTATATAAGTGGAAAGCAACCCTCACCTTACAAGCCGGTTTTGTAGGGTTGAGTTAGGCGTAAATCCACTATTCTAAGATGGTATCAGAGCTATCCTAGATTCTTAAAAATGGGCCACCCACCATTTATTCACGTACCAAGCTCAATAGTGTTGGACGTGAGGGGGTGTATTGGGAAAAACCTAAGTCCCGCCAATCCTAGATCATTAAAAGGGCCACCCGCCATTTATCCACGTACCAAGCCCAATAGTGTTGGACGTGAGGGGGTGTATTGGGAAAAACTCAAGTCCCACATCGACTAGAGATTAGGCAATTGAATAGTATATAAGTGGAAAGCAACCCTCACCTTACAAGCCGGTTTTGTAGGGTTGAGTTAGGCTTAAATTCACTATTCTAAGACCAGGCAAGAAAAGCTGGATTAATCTTGTTGAATTCAGACGAATTTACAGAGAGACAACAAAATGAATGGATTCGATGGGCCTAAATCATAGGCTCAATCTCTTGAGGAGCAAGAGAAAGTTCTTATCCATGAACTCAAGCTTTTCTGTGATTTGATGCAAGAAAGCAACTGCCTAATTGGTGAGTGAGGTGCCATCAATGGCGAATGGTGGATGGCAGAAGAAGGCTGAAGGCCAAAATTCTTCCATATAACCATGCCATTGTGGCCTGTGGCACCGCCATAGTGGGCATCCTTTACAAATTGCCCATGGCAAAAATCCACCACACCATTCTGCCATGGTGTCGTGCCACCATTTAACAACAATGAGTGAGAAGAATTAAAAACGTGGCATCATTACTCAAAAAGGAATGCATCTGCACTGGTGTTGCCTGCATTGGAAGAGAATTTAGTGATGGTGGAGGTGGGCTTGCGAAAGCCATGGTTGATAGGACTCAAGAGGAGGATGGGAGCCGATTGATTAGGTAGACACTAGTAAGAAAGGCATAATCCCATAATTGCATGGGTAGATTGGCTTCAGCCAGCATGGTGAGGTCGAGTTCAACAATGTGTCTATGTTTGCGTTCAACCACACCATTTTGATGGTGTGTATGTGGGCATATGAGACGATGTTGAATCACAACATCGTTGAGATATGCAGTAAATGGGCGACACTCTCCTCCCCAATCAGTTTGTAGGGCTTTAATGGGGAGCTAAAATTGATTTTTAACCATGTTATGAAATTGTTTGAGGATACTAATAGTTTGTGCCTTGTTTTTGATGAGATAAATCCATGTAAAGCGCGTATATGCATCAACAAAGGTAATATAATACTGAAATCCACACGTAGAGGTGACGGAGGCAGGGCCCCATAGATCGTTGAATATTAATTCAAAGGGGGCAGTGTAGACAGATGAGGAAGGGCCAGAATGTAATCTATGAGATTTACCAAGACAACATGAATCACAAAATACTGGTGTAGTATTATTAACGGGTTGAATGTTGCAGTTGCGAAAGACTAGTTTCATTACATCAGTATTAGGGTGACCTAATCTGGAGTGCCAAGTGGCAAAAGAAACAGAGCCCTTGGTGGTTGAATGAGCAGAACGCTGCTGAGCAGTGGCAGGGATCGAGACAAATTGTAGCTTGGTGTTGGAGAGCAAGGCTGGAAACTGGTATAAGCCATCAGGACCAACCGTTCCATGGAGCAGGACTTCTCTAGTAGCCTGTGATTTGACCAAGCAAACTGAAGGGTGAAACTCAAAGAAAACAGAGTTATCTTTGGAGAACTAACGGACACTAATTAGATTTTTGGTAATGGAAGGAAAAAAAAGTAGGTTGTTTAGAGCAAAACGAAACTGAGAATTAAACGGAGAGGAAAACGTAGTGACACCTGAGAAATTTATGTGGAGTCCTTGGCCATTCCCAACATGAATTTGATCTGGTCCTTTGAAGGGGGTGAACTACTGAATGTTCTGTGACACATTGGTTACATGGTTGGACGCACCGGAATGTGGGTACCAGGTGCTGTTTCCCGTGGAGGAAGATGAGGCGAGCATGGCCTAGGGTTGAACAGGGGTAGTGGTAAAGTGGATTTGTGAGGGTGGTTGGGGTCTGGGTCCAAGAATACCAGAATTGTCAGTGGGTTAGAATCAGCCATGACCAGAATTGTCCAAGATGATTTAGAGCGAAAGAAGAAGAAGAAGGGGAGAGGATCAACGACCTCTGATACCATAATAGAGTTGTGAGAGAGAAAGGTAGAAAGAGAGAGAGAGAGAGAAAAACAGAGGAAACAAGAGAAAGTATATGACAAGAGAATTGTAATTTCATTAGCTAGCTGAAAAGTGAGTACAATATAGGTATATATAGAGCCAATTTATATTGGTCTATATTAACAGAAATAAATGTGTATATATATTTTAGGAGTAAAACTATACTCCAATAATGACGATGGAAGCCATGGTGGATTAGGAGATTGAGGCGGCAGCAACAATGATTGCCATGGTGGTGTTTTGGCAGAAGCCGTGGAGGCCGTTTCGTGAACTTCCAATGCCAAATCTACTTTAAGTTTGGTAACACTGCCAATATTTGCTTTTATAGGCTGATGCAAATAATCAACTTCATGAATCTCTCATGATCCTACAAGACTGCAACCTGTGCAATTCAACACATCTCAATCCAACACCAAAACCTCTAATATTTGGGTGAATCCCAACTTAAAGTACCCCAATCAAGACACTAATACCAACTTGGCCACTCCTAGTGCTATGCTTGTCAATACCTCATCCCAGGGTGACTCTACATGGATCCCTAACTCAGGTGCATCCTTCCATGTCACTTGTGAGCCCCAAGTAAGTCACTTTGATGGCCCAGACCAAATTTTCATTGGAAATGGTCAAGGTTTGCATATTAATGGTTTTGGTTCTTCCTCTTTCCTATTTACTATTGACTCAAATATTTGCTTTAAATTGAACAATTTACTTCGTGTCCCCTCCAACACAAAAAATTTGTTGAGTGTAAATAAATTTGCTAAAGACAATTAAGTGTTCTTTGAGTTTCACTCACTATTTGTTTTGTCAAATCTCAGGGGACCAATGAGATTTTACTTCAAGGTGTTGTTGGTACCAATGGACTTTATTCCTTTCCAAATTTAAAGCTTCAAGGCTCCTGTGTGTTGGTGTCTTCTTCAGCTGAAACATCTCCAGATTCTATTGCATCCTCTTGTTCAAGTGTTGATTTTAATTCTACTAATGTAAATACAATTTCTGATGAATCTTTGACCCCTAGTTCTCACACTATGTCACATACTAGGCTTGGTCATCCTAATTCTCATGTTCTTAAACTTGTTCTTAATCATTGTAAAATTGTTCCATCAAATAAAAATATTTATGAGTTTTGTTCTTTCTATTGTGTAGGAAAGTCTAATAGACTCCCTTCTTCTATTTCTAAATTTGTTTACTCTAACCCCTTAGAATTAATTTTCACTGATTTGTGGGGACCCTCTCATAGTTTACTACGTTTCCTTTATTGATGCGTTTTCAAACTTCACATGGATCTATCCTTTGAAGTCAAGATCTGAAACTCCCTGTTTTTCAACAATTTAAGGCTATGGTTAAACTTCAATTAAATACTAAAATTAAAAGCATTCAATCTGACTAGGGAGGGGAATACTGGCCCTTTACTGCCTTTCTTGCCACTCATGGTATAACTTAGATTGATTTGCCCCCACACACATCATCAAAATGGCGTGGTGGAAAGGAAACATAGACATATTGTTGAAATTGGTCTTACTATCCTTCAACATGTCTGTTTGCCTCTAACTTTTTGGGATTTTGCTTTTTTCCACTGCAGTTTATCTAATTAATAGATTACCAACTGCATCATTGAATTTTAACATTCCCTTTATTGTTATATTCAATAAAACACCAATTACAAATTCTAAAGGACCTTTGGTTGTGCTTGTTTCTCTTTCTTAAGATTGTATACTACTCACAAACATGATTTTAGATCCCAAGAGTGTGTTTTACTGGGATACTCAACTTCTCACAAGGGCTATAAATGTCTTTTTGCTTCAGGCAAGATTTACATTTCTAAGGATGTGATTTTCAATGAATAATTCCTTACTCTGACCTTTTCCGGCAAAATTACACCATGGATACCTCTCCTTATCAATACTTCACTCTTAATCCAAATTAGTCTCCCCCATGTCCTAATCCTACTGCACCATCACAACAGCCTATTCTTTCTTCTAAAACTAGTGACCATGGTGTTCAAGACAGTCCTTCATTTGTGCCACTTGTGTCATAGACAAAATTTAGCTCCTCATCCTCACCTGAGTCTTCTACTCACATTTCCCATAATTGTTAATAATCATCCCATACAAACCAGGTCCAAGACTAGGGTTCATAATTCTAGGCTACAACACTTTACAGAATTTTTGGCTCATAGTGAACCAAAGGGTGTTAAACAAGCTCTAACTAGTCCAGATTGGCTTTCTTCCATGCAGCAAGAATCTACTGCTTTAATACAAAATCAGACATGGGATTTAGTTTCCTTGCCCTCTGACAAAAAGGCAGTAGGATGTAAATGGGTGTTTTGGGTCAAAGAAAATGCAGATGGATCTATAAATAAATATAAAGTTCGATCGATGGCTAAAGGATTTCACCAAGTTCATGGTTTTGATTTTCATGAGACATTTTCTCCTTATGTTAAACCTATCACTATCAGAATCATCATTACTCTTGCCCTTACTAATAATTGGGAATTATTTCAATTGGATGTGAATAATGCTTTTCTTAATGACTTCTTGGAAGAAACAGTTTACATGGTGCAACCCTCAAGATTTGAAGTTGAAGACAAATCTCCTGTTCATAAGCTCAACAAGGCTCTTTATGGCTTGAAACAAGCTCCCAGGCAGTGGTTTGACAGACTTAAGTTCACTCTCATTCAGTTTGGATTTCAAGCTAGTAAATGTGATCCCGCTTTGTTCATGTATAAGCATCAAGCTCACACTATTTTTATTCTGGTCTATGTAGATGATATTATCATCACTGGCACCTCACCTCAACTCATTCAGCATATTACTCACAATCGAACTAAACATATGGAAATTGATATCCTTTTTGTTCGAGAGAAGGTTATATCCAAGCAACTTCTGATTTATCACATTCTAGCTTTGGATCAATGGGCAGATTTGTTGACCAAGCCTCTTTCTCCAACCAGATTTGAACTTCTTAGAGGCAAATGTGAAGAGTTTTCTGACAAAACCTCCACCCTAAGTTCTAGGGGGGGGGGGTATTAGAGTGTAATATGACACATAACTTTTTCATTTTGTTATAATAATAGAATATTCCAGTAGGTTTGTTGTGCCAGCTGTCATAGTTTGTTATTTTTGTAATCAGCTTTTTACGGCTGAACCAATAAGGGTAGCTACTATAAATGCTCCCTCTTTATTTTGTTTTCAGTGGGTTGAATGAAATGAAAACTTCATTTCCAGTTTAAAATTTTCTCTCTGAAATTTATCCAAGACTTATTTCCTTTAGAGAGTTTACCCCAAGAGGATTAAAAGGACACATAACTTTAGAGCAAAGGAAAAATGTATGTGGGCACAACAATTAACCATGCCTTTATGTAGTTTTATGTATGCATGTTCTACATTTGGCGACCAAACACAACTGAGAAAGTTTTAACTTGAAATAGCTAATAAAGGAAACTAAAAATCTTCTATGCAAGAACTGAGCTCAAGGATAAGAAAAAGAACACCAAGTCCAATTTGTTGCCTTTCACATTACCAAGGGGGCAAATAATTGAAAAATAGTCAATATATTAATAGAACATCAGTCTCCATCATAAACTTGTTGTATTGGTAGGAATACATAAGATCATAGCATAGGCCAAGATATCAGTTATTGGAGTATTAAGTAAGTCTTGAATATATATATATAGGGTTTTAATAGCTTTTTCCACCATGATTATAATACAATGCTTCTATGGCAAGTCAGTGAAGTGGTAACTAGCAATATATTTGTTAAAACTACAATTTAACAGAATAGTTTTGAGTGGTGAAGCTAAATCACAATTTTCTCCATTGAGAAACTTCATTTTTTTTTTCATTCAACACAATTTTGAAGTTTTTTTCCTCAGCTATCTCTCATAAGTTACTTTATTGGGATTAGGGGGGAAAAGTACCTATGAGTAGCCGTTGATGTTTTGTATGCATAGGTGTTGAATTTGGAGAAAATGAAAAGCTTTTGTTTATTGATTGATACACTGAGTGAAGCTCTGAACTACAGAATTCATACTTTCTTACTTGTGTAACTGTCAGATCAAACTATCCAGCAATCCAACAATAGAGACCAACAGCTAACTGATGTGTCTAAGAGCTGGCTTGAAACTAAAACACTTGTAGTACATGTTATAAATTCATCTTAAAGCCAATTGATTCATGCGATAATAATTGATTCATGTGATGTGGAATTTCACAACAACCTCCCCCCACAAATGCTTGCCAGAACAAACAATGCCTACCATAATAGGTGAACCACGAAAATTGGCTAAAGGTCTTAATACCATGTCAGATTTCATCTAAAGACTAATTGGCATTAAATGAAGTTGCTCGACAAATATATAAGTTGCATCCCAATAATTAAGGCAGGCGATGTGGGACTTCTGAACAGTACATGGCTATTGCATAGAAAAAATAACACAGAAGAGTAGTTCATTCTATTCTCATAAAAGGGGGCATTTGGAAGAATTTCTTTGAGCTTATCAAAATAAGCTATTTTTAAATTATTTCAATATGCTTATTATAGGAATAGTAGATATCTTTAGACGATGTGGCAATACTACTATAAATAAGTGAGTAGCAATCCTCATCTTATGAGTTGGGCCCAAAACCCATAGGTCCCTAAATCAGAACTAGGCTTGTATACCTTTTTAAGAAAGTGTGTTATGAGTCTAGCTCAACCTTACAAAACCAGCTTGTAAGATAAAGATTGCTCGCAATTTATATACACTAGTATGACCATATCTCTAGACAATGAGGGATCTCCAACACTTATGAAAAAGCTTTCACTTGATAACCAGCTTACTGAAAATAAGTCTTAATTAAACTATTTACTCAAACATGCCAAAAGTCAAACTGCAAGAAAGGCATTGATAATCCAGTACATGCCACATACATATTTATTGATATCATCTTATTTCAATGCAGAAGACACAATGAAATAAAATATAAGCAATAATCAGATGAAACATCAAGCTATGCAATATTATTTCTCATGTTATGGTAACAACTTCTCAATACCCTAAAAATATAAATAAAAATAATAACAAAAGAAAGAAAGAAAGACACATTGAAATGAAAAGTAAAAGAATAAAATAACCAAAATTATACAAAGATAACCTGAAATGCCCAAGCCTATTGATAGTTCTTTTCTGTCTTCTTTGTTTAACCTTTCATCACCCTCTATAATTTGTTTTACACGCTCCTCAGGAGCCTCTTGATCATCCTCCCATGCATCCTCTCCAACATAAGAAGTATCATGAACAAGCGTTCCATCAGGTCTTTCAATAAGCTTTTTCATTTTTAGGCCTTTTGGAATTGTGTTCTTCCACATACCCTTCTTAAATCTGAAATCAAATAAATTAACAAAAAAAACTTGGCTAAATGGATTGAACACACTAAACAGTTTGTTACATGAAATGTCAAGATTATAAAGAAGAAAATTCCCATATTGCGATTAAAGTATACTTTCTAGCAGGATAGGAAAAAAAAAATTCATTTAACTGACTGAAATCTTATCTTAGTAGGAAACTGGTGAAAGAACATTATACTTTCACAAGAAATAAAATTTGAGAAATCAACAATTAAGCTTCTAAGAGAATTATGGAAATAATAATTAGATAAGCCAAAAGCATATACAACAAGAGCAATTGTGTCCAAAGTATGTATTAATAAATGAGGATTGACTAACCTTCTAATGTTAGTAGGGGATGGCTCTGGAATTAACGCTTCCATGTAAGCTTCTGTCAATTCTTTCTTATTACGATTTATGAAAGGTGCTCGAATTGCGGCATAAACTCCTCTACAAGCAAATGCCACAACAAAAATGTAAAGAACCAATGCACCAATTCGCTTAGGTTCCCAGTCCTTGATATTCTGGAACAAGAACAAGAAACATTGTTTTATTTTATACTAGAAAGATAATAATACAGAATAATAACAAATATAACTGAAGCCCATTTTATGGATAAAGCAATCAATACACTTTTTACGATGCTGGTCCAAGAGTGTTGGCATTATGTTTCATTAATCAATCAAAATGTTTATTAGCTAGACACGAACGGTTCTAGGAGAAAAAAACACATGAATGCTGAAGCAGTTATTAATCCAAAGCTACTGATCAGACAAACAACCTTGTGAGAATAAATTTGTATTAAATACCAGCATAAGAAAACATAAACAGCATGTATACGAAAATTTTGTAAAATCCTGTCTTATCCCATTATCAAGTACGTAAAAGAAAAGAGACGCCTTTGAAATGCAGACACTGCTAAGAAATTTTGACCAGTCACTCTCATGTTGCACTTGATTGTGGAAATTAGATTTTGTTGCCCCGCTATCTGTTTGTTTTAAGGAAACATTTTCCTTTTTCAATTACAAAAACATTACATTATATTTTTCACATTCCTAATTCCAAAGGTTTGTGCAACAAACAACAAAAAAAAAAAATTCATAATTATTAGTGAACAGAAAAAATTAAAATTGGAAAACATCATCCAACGTGGAAATCATTTTTAGCTCTCACTCGGAAAAGTTTTCCATTTTCACTCATAATAACAAAAATGTAACATTATCTTTTTTTCTTCAACTTGATTCCTACATTCAAAGGCTTGTCCACTGAAACCAGAAAATAAAATCATAAGACACCATTGCAACATTCCCACACAACCAAAAAAATAATAATAATAATAACTCAACAAAAATACAAAAATATGAAATTCACAACACAATCCCAACAGCAATTGAACAAGTCAACTTTCAGTTTCACCATTCCCACTGGTTCCAATCTACAAATCGCAACACAACACACGAGTCCCAAAACACAGTAGGAAAAATATATTTTTTTATTATTATTATTAGTGAAAACCAAAAATTAAAATCAGGAAACACCATCTAATGTGGAATTCAGTTCATGCTCTCACTCAACTTAAGCACTCTCTTTGATTTTAACAAAACGTTTCCCAATTTCACTAATAATTGCAAAAACACCACATCCCCATCCCAAATACTCCACCAATAAACCAGATAATAATATCATGAATTGTTTTGGATTATGTCTCATCTCAATTGGTTGCATGGAAGAGCTACACACTTAACAAGCCTCAACATCTCACACTAATTAATGCAATGTTACGGAAAAACGAAATTAACAACACAATCCCAACACAGAAAATGAATACGTCACCTTCCACTGTTCCCACCGATTCCAATCGACAAACTGAGATACCAACTGAGTCCCAAACGTTCGCAATTCATCTCCGCTCGCCACCTCGCCAACGTTCCTCACGCCGCCACCTTCGAAGTCGAGACCCGTCTCCCTCTTCACCATTTCCCCAAACTTCACCCAAAACCGCCGCGAACCGCGCCGCAGCGACTGCGACCACGAGGGGCCATCGGGCTCCGCCGTGGCCGAGACTCGAAACCTGAGCTTCCTGCCGCCGCGCGGTGCGGTTAACGCGAAAACGTTAGGGTTTTGAGAGAGTGGCGATGAAGAAAGTAGAAGAGGGTTGGGGTTGTGTGGAATGGTGAGTTTCATCGCTAGTTTCTGGGGTTCATTTCTGGATTCGGGGGTTTAAGGGGTTTATCCATAACTCCGTAATTTCATTTCCATTTCAGATATATAATTACGTAAATTCTATAAAGACAATTTTTTCATTTTCTCTAGCAAGTTTTACTCTTTCAAAAATTATTTTTTTTATCTTTAATCACGAAAATGTAACGATTTTTTTTATTCATAAAAAATATTTTGAAGACAAAAAAATTAAATTTACATTTTCTTAACAATATCAAATCATTTCTTTGCAACTATTAAATCAATTAAGTGATTTTGAAAATGTGTCAACTATCATTAAGTAGTGAAGATAATTTTGTATTAAGGACAAAAAAAAATATATAAGATACATTTTTATAAATGATAAATGAAAGTTTAATATGAGAGTTTATTATCTAAAGATTAGAAATAAATATTATCGTAAGAAAAATATAGTTAGAATTAATCAAACCTAATTATATATTATTATCAATATGGTTAATATTAACAATTCGTGAAACAAAGTTAATCATTATTAGTGTAAGACCCACACGATCTTTTCGCTCGTTGCTCTTGCCATCTCTTTGTGACATTTACTTCTCCCAAACCTCATTCATTCTCTTGTTAATTCTCAAGGTTGTTGAGCAATTGGTGTGCTAGGAAGCTTTGAAGCCTGGAATCGAATTTCCATTCCATTTTTCTTTTTCTTCTTCTTCTTCAACTTCGGAATAGCTTGAAGTTTGTCATTCACTCTATTCTAAGGTAAGGAAAGCTAAAATTTTGGGGGTTTGGATTGAAAATGTAGGGCTGATGAATGGATTGAAGGTTAATGTTGATAAATTTGTGAAATTTGCAACTATAGGGTGGATTCAATGGGGTTTTGTGTAGGGATGGCAAAGTGGGCCATGGCCCGCGGGCCGGCCCGTTGGCCCGCCAAAAATTGGCGGGCCGGGCCAAGCATTTCAACCCGCCAA